CACACACACACACACACACACACACACACTCATACACACACACATACACACACAGAGACAAACACACACACACACGCACACACATAGAAGCAGTAGGGAAAATAAAAGAAACAGGACATACCAGTGGCGCTCTCCAACCACCTTTACACAACACCAAGTAGAGCACAACTTTTATTGATCTATGTGTGGAAAATTAGTTTGATTTAACACACAAAAAACGCATTAATGATAAAACATAAATGGAACGAGTTCCACACAGGGCCGGTCAACCAACAACACACAGAAGAGGGGATATTTTGAGCGGGGTATACCCCAACCTTAACCCTAAACCCTAAACCCTAACCCTAACCCCAACTCTAACCATAATCCCTAACCCTAACCCTAACTCTAGTATTGTTTGCTCAGTGGACCTTGTCATGGTAAGTGCCGGCCCTTTGCGGAATTCCTCCCAAATAAATAATAAACGGTATTTGTTCTGAGCATATCTCCGCTCATCAGCAAGTTCTGCGAGCTTTAAATCAATAGTATTATCCAGAGGACACCCAGAAACGTTCACCACTTCCTAAGAGTGCAAGCAGCCAATTACGAGTTCAAACGCTTGTGACAAGAACGTTCGCTGCATGTAACCGGGGACCCACTATTACCAGACTGAAGCTTAGAAAATTCAATTCAATTGCCTTTCTCAAGGACACTACATCGAGCCCCTGGCGGTATTCAAACCCATGACCTTGCTGTTGCGATCCCAGCAGCCTAACCACTAGACCACTGACGTGTACAATGATTGATCAAAGTCACATAATAATATAACACACACGATCTATATCACACTAGTAAAAGTTGTTCCCGCATCCGATCCGGACATTGGGGATTGCCCTGTTAGTGAGGCAACTTCCTGGGCCTTCAGGATCATGTGGTAGGGCGGTCAGTTCCTTTCCACGCCGCCTTTACTTCCCCAACTCAAAGTCAGGTACCCATTACTGCTGGGTGGGCAGGAGAGGGTGCAAAAAATCTGTGTCCGAACCGAGGCTCGAACCGTGGGATTCCCATTTCGGAGACGAGCGCACTAACCGCTCCGCCACCGCACTCTCATCACACTAGTACAGATAGTCTTTTTTTTTCAAAATTTCACTGCTTGACGTAACTGGGCAGGCCCAGTTATGATGGAAGGAAATCGTGTCCAACCCAAAGACACACCCCAGTGACCACTCAGCAAAACGCCGTATCACCGCCATATGTCTGCCACTATCGTGAGACTCGACTGCACTCACTGATCACTCAAACAGTGGAGCCCTTTTAGTACAAGAAATTTAAAGAAAGATTTACACTCGTTTCACCGCCAAGACTAAGAGGCTATACAAGGGGAGATGGCTCAGAATTGAAAGTATAGTCAGAATTGCAGTTATTCATGTGCGTCATAGTATGCACGCTCACGCGCACGCATACTGTAATAACAAAAGTTCGCCTGTAAATGTTTGACGATGACTAACGCATCCCCAGAGGAGAATATTTCTTGAGTCAGCCAGAGGGACAGTAATTATCTACATGTGTGTGTGTGTGTGTGTGTGTGTGTGTGTGTGTGTGTGTGAGAGTGCGCGCGCGCGCGCGCGCGTGTGTGTGTGTGTGTGTGTGTGTGTTTATGTGTGTATGTGTGTGTGTGTGTGTGTGTGTGTCTGTGTGATTGTGTGCATGTGTGTGTGTGTGTTTGTGTGTGTGCGCGTAATGTTTTCCCCTGAAATATAGACGTTTTAAGTTTAGTAGAGGTTTTACAGCGCTCGCAACTGCATAGGGTCATATGAGCGCCAGAAGATTAGAGGAGTTACAAGAAAGTAACAAACATAAAAAAAGAAAAGGGGAGATAAGGAATATATATGTTTGATAGGAAAGAAGAAGCAAATCACACCAGAGCACCCGCCAACCACCCACATAGGCGTTTTCACGCCCACATCGACACAATGTATAACATTTAATAGGTGGGCTTCTGACCCTGCCAGTCAGGGCCAACAGGAGCTGAGAGGAAAACAACATTATTTATAGCAGACTCGGTTAAAATTCCCCCCCCCCCCACTCGGGAATCTAACAGACATGCAAACATACAGATAAGGTAAATTGATGTAACTTCAATACAAAAAAACATATAGCACAAAAGTGGCGTCATCGGTGCACAAAGGTAACGAACCAACAAAAGATGAAAAAGACTCAGTGGAGCAAGGCGACTGCTGCTAGCAGTGGCAAACAAGTTGTCCTCGAGGCGAAAAACCCCCCACCACCATAACAGATCGCATTCGACACAGGTCATCGATTTTTTGTGTTTATCGGATGTAGCAAAGGAACATCCATGAACACAATACTGCTTATTTAGTGAGCTGGAAAATCGCATGACACGTTAGGACCCCCCCCCCAAAAAAAAAAAAAAAAAAAACATCGTCAAAATAAACCACAAAAAAAAAAAAAAAAAAAAAAAAAAAAACACAACAAAAAACAACAAAAAATAAAAATAACCAAGAAAAAACAACAACCCCATCATAACCCCCCCCCCAAAAAAAAATCACACACAAGAAAAACAACAACAAACAAACAAACAAAACATCCCCCAACCCAAAGAATAATGGTTCAGAATCCACGAACAACGTCCTCGCACCACATGTCTAGTCATCATCAATAAAACATTACACATCAATGTTTGGGATCGAAACACAGCTGACTGAGGTCTGTGATGTAGCGGTTAGTCC